CAAAATATTCACTCCAAGGGACTTTGAAGATGTAATTCAGTCAAGGGTCTTGAGATGGGCAGATGATCCTGTCCGGTATAACCATCACAAAGGTCTCCACAGTGGAAGAAGGGGCAGAAGAGAGGGTCACAGTGAGGGACACGAAGACCACGATGCTGCTGGCTGATGATGGACTGCAGCAACCTCTGGGAGCCAGAGAAGGCAAGAAACAGATTCTCCTGCAGTCTCAGAGAGAAGCAGCTCTGCCAACACCTTGATCTGAGCCCAGCAAGACCCTGCCAGACTTCCGACCTCCAGAACCATAGGAGAATTAATCGATTGTCTTACCTGCAGTTTGCAGTTGATTTGTTACTGTGGTAAGGGGAAGCTAATACACAGATTCAAAAAAAATTAAAGATTCCAGCTTTCCAAAGCAGCAGAGCATTTTTAGGGAGGAAATGTGGATCATGTTGAAGTTTTTAAGCGGATAAGCGCTCTGACTGTGAAGGTGTAATGTGGTCCTTGGACACAGTATCTCATGCAACATCAGGTGAAAGGCCAGTATTCAGGTTCACTTCTTCATCCTCCTTTATCCACAGCCACAACTTAGACCACAGTTTGGGATGTTAAGAAAAATGGAGTGGGTTAACGTTCCAGATCATTCTTTTGTGAATTTGAAATCCAGGAGCTATGGCCAGAGTCTGTGAAGGGTTTGGGAACTCACCCTAGATTTGGAATGAATGGCAAGTCTATGTAGACATTTTTATTTCAATTTCAAAAAGAACTTTTAGATAAATATTTAAACGCAGATGGCAAAAGCAATGCACTTTATCTTACTACAAATGTCTGAAGCACTTCACAGGCCTCACATGCTCAAGTTGGGGGTAGAAGGCACACAGGTTTTGAAGTCATAAAGGTGCTGGTACAAACTGTGACCATGTATGAAACTTTGGCTTCCTCTGTTAGGTCCCAACATTCTCACCTGAGACACGTCTACACTCATGTCTGCAACAAGGCTGGTGACAGGAGTGGGATAATGTGAGGAGAGCCTCTCCCGGCCCTTGCCTTGGGAGATGCTCAACAGCAACCGTGGTTATTGTTTCACATGACATCATGTGGTCCCAAGTGACCTTGCAGGAGACACAGGACAGATGTTCTAAGTGACCGAGCAGCTTAAGACTTCCATGGCCCAACCCATGCCCGTTTTATAGAAGAATAAGGATTGGCAAGAGTTGCCATGGGTGCCACTCTGCTCCAAGTCCCTCCCATCAGGCCTTGTCATGAGCATCCGAGACCTGCAACAACAATCCTATTCCGTCTCCAAGTTGGCTTAGTCCTCCAGAGTCTCTCCTCCTGATTTCAAGGACTACTGAGGAGGCCATGTAAGTGGCACCAGGTACATTTCCATAATTCTTTCTCCACCAGGCAATAAATACACAAGTGGTCAACAGTGAACTGGCCATTCCAACAGTGAACTGGTAAAACTGCTACTACATGTGTCAGACACCAGTCTGCAATGACCAGCTTTGCATCTCACCAAGAAGGACCTGCCCACATTGTAGATAGAGGGCCTACCCTCAATAAGGCTGTGATGTGGAGACACTGGTAAAGAGCCTTTAAAAACCTATCAAACTAGCAACACACAGTCCACTGTCAAGAAACATTAACATTGTGGAGGTACACATTTATTTATCATAAGATAAATTATTTAATCAAATCTACACAGAGACAGAGAGAGAGAAAGAATATCACCAGAAACCCCTCAGACGTTGGTGGCTCTGGACCTGCTCTATAAAGTTCTGACCGGTTGATCATAATATGTAGAGAAAGCAACAACCACAAGTGGGGCCTGCACAGCATGACACTGCTGAACGCTCAGCCTCACACTCACCTCCTTTCCAGCTCTGGCTGTCAGACAAGGACAACGCTGCTGGTACCCACAGCATGGGGTACCATACCTCCACACATACCTCGGGCCAGGCTTGTTCAAACATTTCCATTGTGGATGTGCTGTCACATCATACATGAAGTTAACTATCCTTAAGAGAAGCCTGTCGATTTTGCCTTCAAAACTGCAGTGCTCCATGTCCTACTAAAGGAACCAGCATATCAAACACAGTCTTAACCCAAGTCCACCTATGCCTCACATAAGAACTGAATTTGCAGAAGGTTGAGGCGGAAGGATCACAGGAGCCCAGCAGGTCGAGGCTGCGGTGGCCGGGAGCGGCCACTGCACTCCAGTCTGGGCGACAGAGTGAGACTCCAACTCAAAAAAAAGAAATTTATTTGTTAGTCCATGGTACTAACTTTAAAGAGAAGCTCTCCTTTTTCATTAAATGTGGGATAAGCTTCAAAGGTCACTGTTTTTACTAAAACTCAAGCTATTTTTTTCTTGCACAAATGCTCTTTGGATTGTTGCAAGCCTTCTGTTAATTTCCACAGTTTTAAGAATGTTGATTTTGACAATCTGGGAATGTTCTTATTGCATTTATAGAGGAGATTTTCAGAGGTTCTATCCCACTTCACAAGTGCTGCCTTACCGTGTTTATTTTTAACAGAGACTTTTCCTGCCTGTGGCTGTTCCCAGCCTTAATTTTACTCAATTTAACAATGTGGTGACAACTGTCCCTTCAATAACTACCAATATTGTCCAAACCTGAGAAAATAAAAGTGACTGGAAAACATACTTTAAAAGTTACTGTAGGTCATGATAAGTAAATATCTCAATACTGTGTAGTTGTTTAATATGCAATGTAGTTATTTGACACTGTCTAGTTTTTTAATATACGATGCTGAGAGACAGAGGAAAGGCCTATAGGGTGATATATGCACAAAAAAGTAGACTCAGAAAAGAAATTTTTAAAAATTAATAAGGAACCAACAATTATACTTATCTGTGAATGTAAAAGTCATCAGATGTTAGATGTTTTCTGGTCCATGGCAGGACAAGATGGAAAACATGTAAATACAGAGTTCTGAACATGTTACTATTATTGTTTTAATGCACCCATTCATTCAATAAACAGAATTTTATGAAGCACGTACTCTGCTTCAAATAATACAGCAGGTGCAGCAGCCAGCCGTCCATGTGGCCCCGATCCTCAACTCTTGGTAGTGTGCACAGCTAACCAGCCTCCTCCCATATTAGCTAGAGATGATCTGGGCAGTCATCAGACGTTTAGGAAATGATGGAGAGTGACTTTGAAGGCTCAGCCAAAGACACTGCATCCTTTCACTCCCTCGCTCTCTCTTACCATTTGCTCTGAATCACCCTTGAAGCCACCAGCCACATGGTGAAGTCACTCCTGTAGCCCTGCAGAGAGGCCCATGCGGCAAGAACTGAAGGCCTCTTTCCACAGCCAGCGCACCTTCCCAACCACGTGTACCACAGTGGAATGGGGCTCTAGCCAGCATCTTTCTCAGTTCACAAGTTCTTATTTCATATCATTTATTACTATGTCATTCACTGGTGAATCAAATTCTTTCTCATTCACTGTGTCAGGCATTCATGCTCACACCACCACCTACATCGGAGACCAGGGCACCAGCCACGGTGTGTCCTGGTTCTGAAGAGCCTCCTGGCTTACGAGCAGCATGCGGGAACACTGGTCTTCACTGCCTCCTCTTCAAGGCCCTTCATCAAGAAACAAGGTTCACAACAAGTACAATGTGCTCCTTTTCCTCCCTTTCTTTCATTTATTCATTAAATAATCTCAGCAAGAAGAGAGCCCATACAACTTTTTTCTAATTGAAAATTTTCAAGTATTCAGAAAATGTTATCCACTCATTCATGCCAAAAGACATTCTGATGCAAAACACTGAATTTTCAAAACAACTGGCATCTTCTTCCACCTATAAGTCACTATGAAACACCCTGCAACATATCTCACTGGGTCTCACTATCATCTTTTCTTCTAATTTCTTTCATTTCTGACCACCCCATATCTCACCAGCAAGATGGTCAAAGGATTAAAGACAGAATACAACTCCAAACAATACACTAAATTTCAGAATAGAAGAGGCACAGCATTAACAAGAAAAGCAGGTGTCCAACAGTACACGTAGCCTCGTCACTGAAATACATGAAGCACCATGAGGTAACCTCTCAGGGTTGCTTGCAATAGGGAAGGAAACTACACACCCAATGCCCACCTGCAGTGGACTGAACAGGCGCTCTGGTCCACAGCAAGACAAGATGTGCTCATTCATGTATCAATACTCAGTGTACACTGTAGGCAGTGTGTGCGCCAGGCAACATGACATGCCTGGACTGTAGCAGCACCTTGTTTATTGGGAATGAGCCGGTGAACAGGCACATCAGTGCTGCTCCCCTTGGCCACACACATCAGGCCAGAGCACATGCCCACACATAAAAACTGTCCTCTGAATCAAAGCTTCAATCTTAGAGAGATAAAATCCAATGTATAATACCAAATACTCGGGTTCAATTAATATTTAATACTTTCAATCTCCTACATTTCCATAATACCATTCATTTTCTGTATAATTGATTTGCAATTGTTATTTTCTTTTCATCTTTTCTCCTAATTAAAAGTTACTTTAAGTTTTGTGGTCCTTTTCTATATTCAAATTCTTTTCATAAGGATTTTCAGAATCTTGTTTTCATCTGCACTGGTGCTTGCTTTCTTGCTTGAATTTTAACCATAGTGTTCATCTTTGTGCTACACATTTGTCCATGGATATTCTCATATATTTCTCTATTTCAGTCTCTATTTGTCCATGGATATTCTCATATATTTCTCTATTTTTGTTATTCATGCATAGGCACTGAATAACAAATACATTAATTACAAAAGACATTTTTCTAGGTTTCTCTTTCTCCCCAGTAAGGGTTGATCCCCTAAGTTCTTCTCCCCGCACTCAGGGAACACTGGCATGAAAATTTACATATTATAAAATTTCACCAAAATTAAGTCTGACAGACACAAAAATATGATGTAAGATTTGTGCACAGTAGAAAATTCCTCCCTTCCCCCTCCCAACCACTCATCAGGCTGTACCTGGGGCACTGAGGGGTTGAAGGCCACTTGGGTGACGGTGTCTGTGTGCCCTGCCAGTCGGTGAGAAAAGGTGCTTGAGCCCACTTCATACACGTAAGCCTGGGAGACAAGATGAACAGGTGCTGCGTTAGTTCAGGACCAGAAGTCCACTCTATGTCACCCTAGCAAAGGACTGTCTAACTGTCTACAGCTGATCATGGGGCGGCTACAAATGACAGGCTGCCACCCAGGTGCAGAATCTGTGCAAGTTCACAAAACAGACATCTTCTCCTCACATCACATTCTCCACTTCCTAACAGAAGCCTGCTAACACCTGTAAACTGTTTTAAATACATGCACATATCTGATAACTAACTTTTAAGGAAGGAGCACAGATTCTGTAATTCGACCTTACCTGAAGTCTCAAATTGAGTAAAAAAAGAAAAAGAAATTATGTCATATAGCCCTTGCCCATAATGCTGAGGGAGAATTATAATACTATACTTTGTTTCCTACTAATCAGCTGAGAATTTAAGCCACTAAGCACTTATATTTTTATAACTGTTAATCAGTAATTTCCCCTCTAATGATATTACTATGTACTCTGGATTGCCATCCAGAACTGCCCTCAGATCCTGTATTTAGGGACAGCACCTGCTGCCAGAGCCCATTGTGATGGGATCTGAAAGATGAGATCGTCATTAAGTAACCAAGTGTGCCAGTGAGTATTTTCTAAAAGTCTACTGGGGATAAGGATGAATACCACACTGCAGCAGGAGGAAGATATCAAAGGTGATAACTTTTCCCACAAAAACACTTCTTTTAACAATAAATTGCATTGTGTATATTTGAGCTTTAAAACATGATGTTATGAGATACATACAGATACATAGATACAGACAGTACAGTAGTTACTGTAATAAAGCAGATTAACATATCCAGCATCTCACACAGTTACTTTTATTTGCGCAGCAGTTCAAATCTACTAATTTAACAAACATCTCTAACACAGTTTCATTAACCTTGGTCCTCATGCAGGGGTAGTAGTGCCTTAGATCTCTTGACTTGTTCACTCCACATATCTGCTATTTTGTATGTTTTAACTGATATCTGCCCTTCCTCTCCTCTCCTCCACCCACGTTAACCACTGTTGCATACTCTATCTCTGTGTGTTTGAACTCGTTTAAAAACACATATTCCACATATACGTGACATCACATGATACTTTTCTTTCTGCATCTAGCTCATTTTACTCAGCACATCAACCCCAGGTCCATCCATGCCGTGGTAAATGGCAGGATGTCTTTTTCAAAGACCAAAGAATGTTTGATTGTGTGTGTGTGATGTTCATGTGTGCATGTGTGTGTGTGTGTGTGTGTGTGTGTGTGCGCGCGCGCATACACCATATTTTCTCAGTCATTTTTTCACTGATTGGCATTTAGGTCGTTTCCGTATTTTGGCTGTTGTGAGTAGTGCTGCAAGGAACATGAAAGCACAGATGTCTTTGCAGGCTGGTAGCTTCATCTCCTTGGGTGTCTTAGACACCCAGAAGGATGGCTGGGTCACAGTGTAGTTCCAGTTTTAATATTTTTAGAAACCTTCACAGTTTCCGTAATGGTTTTATCAATCTACATTCCCACCTACAGTGTACAAGGGTTCTCCTTTCTCCACACTCTTGCTAACACTTGTGATCTCTTATCTATTTGATAATAGCCGTCATAGCAGGTGTGAGGTAACATTTCAGTGGTTTTAACTTGCATTTCCTTTATGATGAGTGAAGTTGAGCACCTTTTAATAGAGCGATGGTCACTTTTATGTCTTCTTTGGAGAAATGTGTATTCATGTTCTTCGTTTATTTTTTAAATCAGGTTATTTGGTCTTCTGCTCTTGAGTTGTATGAGTTCTTTATACATTTTGAATATTAACCCCTTATCGGATATGTGGGTTGCAATTATTTTTCCCAGCCATACATTGCCTTTTCATTTAAGAAACACAAAATTATAAGTAATATGCTTAATTTTAAATTACATTACAAATTTATGATGATCAAAACAGTATAGTGCTGGTATAAAACCAGAAACATAGACAAAGAAAACAGAATAGAGAGCTCAGAGATAAATCCAAACATATATAGACCACTAATTTTCAGTAAGGGAATATAGAGGAAACAATGAGGGAAAGATAATCTCTTTAATAAATGGTGTTGGGGAAAGATGATTTCCACATGCAAAAGAATGAAATTGTACCCTTATCTTACACCACACACAAAACTCAACTCAGAATGGATGAAACACACAAGTGTTAAGATCTAAAACCATAAAACTCCTAGAAGACAGTATGGGGGGAGAAAGCTACTCAATAACTGTCTTGGCAATAATATTTTGAGTATCACACCAAACGTTCAGGCTACAAAACAAAAATAAATAAACAGGACTACATTAAACTAAAAAGCATCTGCATAGCAAAGGAAATAGTAAACAAAAGAAGCTGCTTTATTATAAGAATGAGTCTCAAACTAAGACCTTCCCAATGATTTTGCCAATGGCTAAACAGTGGTTTTTGAAGCCTACACATTGATTTTGATGTTTATCTGACCCTTGAACAACAAGGTGGTCACGGGCCTGGACCCCTTTCACCCATGTATAACTTCTGACCCCCCCAAAAAATATTTAATAGCCTAGTGTTGACCAGAAACCTCACCAATAACACAAATAACTAACACATATTTCATATGTTATATATATTATATTTTATAGTCTTACAATAAAGCAAGCTAGGAAAAAGAAAATGTTGTCAAGAAAATCATAAAGAAAAGATACAGAAACAAAGAACTTAATACCTCATGCTCTCACTCATAAGTGGGACCTGAATGATGGTTGCATTAGCACAAGGGAGGGATCGGCAGTCACTGGGCACTGCTGGGGGGGGGAGGAGGACAGGGGCATATTACAACACAAAGGGTACCTGGACCACTACCAGGAGTGAAAAAGTCATTAAAGTATATACAAAAAAGGAAAAAGAAAGAAAATCACAAGGAAGAGAAAATATATTTACTCTTATTAAGTGGCAGTGGATCATTAAAAAAGGTCTTAATCCTCATTGTCTTGTGTTGAGTAGGCTATGGAAAAGGAAGACAAGGAAGAGTTGGTCTTATAGCCTCAAGGGTGGCAGAGACAGAATAGGTAGAGGAGATGAAAGTGAAGTCAGGGAGGCAGGCACACCCTGTGTAACTGGATGGAAGTACATAATAGTTTCTGACTTTTTGCCTTTCCATTTCTCTAAAACATGTTCCTATGTGACACCAATTCTTCTTCTACCATTTGCTTTAGTTTCAGTGCCCAGATCACACAAGGGTCCATGCCATGACAAGTCACGAGCAGTCTTGAATGATCGAAACCCTTCTGCCAGATTGTCTAACAGAAGTCTGTTTCCTGGCACTGCTTCTTGTCTTCTTCCTTATCATCTGGCACTGATGCAGAAGCGTTCCTCTCCATCAAGTCACATGCTGTTAATTCTTCTAGTATGGTGATGTCTGTTAGCTCTTGCACTTCTCCAAGATCCATATCTTGACATTTTCAGCCTCCCCCTTTCTGCCTTATCCACAATCCCTTCCATGATTTCTTTGACTGGTTCTGTCGTAAGTCTTGTGGAGTCCTACACAATATCTGGTCAAAGTTCTCCTGCAAGAATTTATTGTTTGGGGCTTGATGGCCTTCATGGCTTGATGGCATTTTCTGTAACAACTATGGTTATCTCCAATGATGTAATACTGCCAGACTTTCATAATTTTTTTCTATCGAGGTTCTCTTCCACAGTGCTGATAATTCTTCCTCCCAGAGGAACAAGTGGAATGAGCCTTAAAGGTCCTTATTACCCCGATCTAGATACTGGATTACAGTCTCTTGGCAAGTAGACCACATCTGTACCTGTGTTGTTGAATTCATGGGGTTCTAGGTGAACAAGGGCATTGTCTAATATTAAAAGAACGGTAAAAGGCAGCCCCTTACTGGTAAGATAATTCTTTTTTTTTTTTTCTTTTGAGTTGGAGTCTCACTCTGTCACCCAGACTGGAGTGCAGTGGCCGCTTCTGGCCACCGCAGCCTCGACCTGCTGGGCTCCGGCAACCCTTCCGCCTCAGCCTTCCACATAGCTGGAACTACAGGTGCGCGCTACCAAACCTGGCTAATTTTCTTTTGATTTATTGTAGAAATGAGGTCTTGCTGCCCAGGCGGGTCTCGAATCCACGGGCTCAGGCAATCTACTCACCTCAGCCTCCCAAAGGCACGGGATTACAGGCTGAGCCACCGAGCCCAGCTGGTAAGGTAATTCTTGTCTTCAGGAACAAAGCATTCATGGAACCAAACCAGAAAAGAATCTCATTGTCCAGGCCTTCTTGTTGTATAACCAAAAGACTAGCAGTTAGTGTTTATCTTTTCTTTTTTTTTTGAATCAGAGTCTCACTCTGTTGCCCAGGCTGGAGTGCAGTGACATGCTCATGGCCACCCCAGCATTGACCTGCTGGGCTCAGGTGATCCTTCCACCTCAGTCTTCCAAGTAGCCAGAACAACAGGCGTGTGCTACCACACCTGGCTAATTTTTTGATTTATCGTAGAGACAAGGTCTTGCCCAGTTGCCTGGGCTGGTCTTGAACCTGCGGGCTCAGGCAATCCACTCACCTTGGCCTCCCAAAATTATGGGACTACAGGCTTAGCCACCAAGCCCAGCCTCTTCAAGGCTCAGGGACCAGCAGCTTGACAGATAAGGTGGTCCTAAGCATGAACTCAACTGCATTTGCACAAAACTGTGGAGTTAGCTCATTCCTTCCTGCCTGAACTCCTGATCCTCACATCTCTTTCTTAATAATAAAGGTCCTTCATGGCATTTGTTTCCTCCAGAATAGGGCACCTTTGTCTGCACTGACAACCTTTTTTGCAGATGTTCTTTCTCCTCAATGGTTTTCTTAATGGTGTCTGGGAACTAGTCTGCTGCCTCTTGGTCTCCCATTAGCTTGTCAATTTTAAAGCCAAATCCCTTTTTAAAATTATCAAACCATCTTTGGCTGATGCTAACTTTTCCAGCTTTAGGTCCTTTGCCTTCCTTTTGCTTTGAGGTGTCATATA